CCTCTGAGATTGCCATGAGCTCATTCCTCCCCACTTGTAGAGCCCCCCCCCAAAAAACATTTGCGGCTTAAATATCGGCAGATGCAATCCGAATGTTGTGCATCGCAGATATTCTAAGCTGTTCCTCCTCTATTATTCATCAGCCTGATATTGTTTGCAAGCCATTTCTAAGCTGAGCTCGTTCGCCCTCACCGTTTCCTTTGCAAAGATATTTCCCCCCCCGAATGCATCACAATAATAACGCTATCATGCAGAACCTCCAAACGATAATGTATAGATGAGGTATGTAACTTTTTTTTTTTTAAGACCGCTTTTCGAGCCCCACAAGTGGGGCAAAGGCACAGGGATCACTAATCCCCATTTCCCAGGTAGACTGTTCTTGGCTGTGGAGGCTCGACTTATCGATGGTCTCTCAAAGCTGCCACTTGACCTTCCCTGTGATGTGGGTGTATGTTATGGAGGGGGGAGTGAGGTAAAGGTTTGGAATAATTCTAAGGCAGAAAGTACATTTTGTCTTTTACAACGGTGCAGATGGTAGAAAGACTGGCTTGGCATGTCCCTTTCCTTGCTGAACCCTCAAAAATTCAAGATTGGGGTTCTCATGACAACAGAGCTGTCGTGTGGCAGACCTCTCCCTCTTCAGCCCCTCCAGCCCCCCGCTTGCAAAAGAAGAACTATAAAAACCAAAATCCAGAAGGGGAAAATGGTCTGCAACTATTCCCAAAGCCCTCTGCACCCAGTCGAGACTACAAAATAATCCTGGATCCTTCTGTTTCCAGACTGGCATTTGGCCGTATTTCTTAATCTGCTCCCTTTGCAGACAGAGCAGGAAACTGGCATTCATTTCCTCCCATTGAGGCATCTCTGTTGCTCTGTCTGCCTCGAGGCTGGCTTTGCAATGGAGGCGTGAACAGGCTGTGTTTACATTCCCTTTTTATTTGGGGGTTTTTATTTCGCTCAAAGCTGCCCCGGATGAGGACATCTGAATTTGCTAGAAAAGCAAAAACCGTCTTTTCCTATCCTGCAAGGGCCTTCTTGAAAAACCAAATCTATTCTCCCGCGCTCGGGCCAAGGGGGAACATCCAGAGGTTGGACTCCGTGCAATGGCTGGGGATGCTGGGGATTGGAGTCCCACCACCCGTCTGGTGGGCAGAGCAGAGACGGGAGCCCAACGGGGCACTTCAGCCCTCAGCAGCCTGTCCCAGCTCAACCAAGTCTGGATCCCTGACATGGTTAGCAGTTTCTGGCTCTGTATGAACCCAGACTATCGGGTCAGCTGAGAAAATCCTGCTTCCGGGAAGGATGGGCTGCTAAAACAACCAGAGACCCCTTTTGCATTCATTCCCAATCGAGGCCCAGAAAGGCACTCTGCACGAGCCCAGGGGACGCTTGGGTTTCGATGCTACAGGGGACTCCGTTCCCCACTCTGATAGGTGGGGTTTAGCCTCGGGGGAGAAAAATGGCAGCTTGAAGACATTAAAGCATTTGAACCCAGTGCCGGGCCGGGGACTGCTAAGCTGCACCGCTCACAGGGCAGGAAGGGCCCCCCCCCCAGCAAA